GGCCACGGAGGGGGGGAGGGCTGAGACGCTGGAGTCCGGGCGGCGGGCAGGTCCTGGCCACCCCGCCCCCCGATCGGGGGAGGGGTACCATGGCTCTGCTGGGGCCCCCGAGATACATGGGCTCCATCCTCTGCTCCCTTACCCAGGGAAAACCCTCTGGACACCGAGTATGTGTCAGGCTCCTGTCCGGGTACTTTGCACGCAGTCTTCTTGCGGCTTGGGAGATAGAAGGCGATAGCTCCCCATTTCACAGAGAAAGAAATTGAGGCTCAGAGAGAGGAAGTGACTCACCCAAGGTCACACAGCCGCGATCCAAACCTGCGCCCCTCTGGGCCCCGCAGCGGGGTTCCATCTTCCCTGAGTCCGAGTGCGCTTGGAGGTCTGCGAGAGGGCAGGGGGCGGGGTGGGAGGAGGGGATCTCAGGGTCTCCTGGGGACGGACCACCGCTGAGAGGAAGCAGTGGTCCCCGAGGGCCCCACCAGCAGCTTGACCGACTGGTGACATTTCTCCTCTCTCCTTCCTGGTCCCGGCCCTCTTAACCCAAGAGCAGGCAGGTTAGGGCACACCGTGGCCCGACTTCTGGGCTCCCTGGAAGTCTAACTGAAATGAGCAGAGGTCTCCAAATTCAAGAAGCCCTCTCTCCCTACCTCCATCGTTCCTAGGGTCTCTGGCCCTTCCTGGCTTCCCTCCCTCTGTCCCTGCCGCCGCATCTCCGTGACTTTCAGGCTTCCCTCTCCCGGCTCTGCCTCTCGGTCTTCCTGCCCCACGTCCCAGTTTCTCTCCCCTCCCCCCCATCCCCAAACCCTGGCTCCCCTCGCACGGCCATCCCCGGCCTGTGTGTGGTCAGAGTTTCCCGTTTGGGGAAACCTGAGCCGAGGATAGGGGGAGGGGGCTCTCCTGCTGCTGACCTCGGCTGCCCCCTCCCCAGATGGGAAGTAGGGTGGAGGACTGCAGCCAGACAGCGCGGACGCCCAGCCCCTCCCCCGGCCGGGAGTGAGACCCTGCACATTCTTCTCGCAAGCAGAAACAGCTGTGGGAGGCCCTGTCCCCTCCCGAAGTTAGCGCCCGACTGTGGGGGCCTTCCGTGCTACCCCACTCCACCTCATCCCGACCGGCAGGAAGCAAGAGACCGCTGGCCGTGCCCCCTTCCATTTCCCCATTCCTCAGCACCCCCATCTTGGTAGGAAGTGGTAGCAAGAGACCTGTCCCCCATAGTCACCAGGCAAACTCGTCCCAGCCTGGGGAGGAGGTGGTAACCCGGAGGGGAGCAAGGACACAGCGACAGGGAGGGAGGAGCAGAGAAACGCTAAATATAAACTCTCCTAGTGTTGGGGGTTTCTGGGTCCTTCTAAAGAGGGGGTAAGGGTCTTCTCCTCTGATCCCTGAGCCCCTGTCTTCTGACACTGAGCACCCCCATCCCAAATCCAAGAATGCACTCTCTTTGAAGCAAGAAAGACTGAAACTAGACTTGACTTTCTAATGGGAATGTTGAAGATGCCAGGAAAAGACAAAGGGTGTTGCAGAAAGAGCCCTGGATCCTGGGGGCAGGAGTCTCCAGGCCCTTTTGCTCCTAGGAAGGAAAAAGGTACCTTTCAGCAAGCAGGACTACAGTTAGACTTGCAGAAGGACTTCCTAACAGAGATAAAAGGGCATTGGACACCAACTAGTGGAATGTAAGGAGAGGAACAAAGGTGTGGGGTGGTTTGGGTAAAGGGGTTTCCAGCTACCCAGGCCCAAACTGCACTCTTGTGAAGCCTGTCTGAGCTCCAAAGCCTGCTTGCAGAAGGGCTTGCAAAAGATAAAATAAAATCCTTTTGAAGAGGAGTATTATGGGGAGGCAAGATACAAGATTTGGGCCAAGAACCTCTGGTCTTTTAAAGATTCATCCATTGGCAGCTGGAAGGAATGAGGTCAGGCTTGCAAAACTGGGGGTACAGACTAGGGAGAATTTGGGGGGCCTAGATACTGGGGAAGAGGATTCTAGACTAATCTGCCTCCTCCCCCAACTCCTCTCCCTGTATCGAAAGAACTGAAATGACACCTGCACAACTAATCCCCAAATCCATCATCTTACATTTAATTTTAATTATGCATATAATATTTTTAATTATTCTTTTTAATGTAGTAATGCAAGGTAGCAATTATTAAGTGCTTAAAAGGAACTGGTGTGCATGTGAAGTGTTGGGGATTGAACCCTGGCCCTTGCATATGCTGGGCAAATGCTATACCAATGAGCTATACCTCAGACCTTTTTATTTTGAGACAGGGTCTTACTAAATTGCCAGGGCTACGCTGGACCTTGCAATTCTCCTGTCTCAGTTTTCCAAACAGCTGGGGTTCCAGTTCAATGCCACTGCGCTTTTTAAAGTGATTCAATCCTCACAACAAGCCCAGGAACAGGTTCTATGATACCCATGTTACAGATGAGGAAGTTGAGGCCCAGAGAGGCAAAACCATCCACCCAGGGCCTCAGAGCGGGGAAGTGGCAGAGCTGAATTTGAACCCTGGCAATGTGGTGCCAAGCAGGCCTCTTGAAACAGTGCTTTCTACCATCCACTCTCCACACACTCCCTTTTTTGGAGACAGGGTCTCACTATGTAGCTCAGATTGACCTGGAACTCACTATGTAGCTCAGGCTGGTCTTGAACTCACAGCGATCCTTCTGCTTCAGCCCCCCGAGTGCTGGGATTACAGGTGTGCACCACCACACCTGGCTTCCACACCCTGATGGATCCCCTATGTTTAGCCTCTCTCCTGGAGTCCCTGCCCTTGGCACCTTGGCTTGAGTCCTTTTAAATCTCTTACAATGCATCTACTTGCAGAGAAAGTATGTGCCAGGAAAGAAATGCAGAGCTTTTGAAAAAGCTTTGCTTTTCTACAAATTCCACTTTTTTGAGTGAGGTCCCAGAGACTATGTCTATGGTTCTCAAAGGCTTCTCCTATCCCATGGGACTTGATACAGATGTAAAAGTTTGGGCCCAACTCCAGTTGGGGGTCAGAAACTCCACAAGTGGGACCCAGTTTGAGATTTCACAAGGCCCCCCAGTATAGCTGTGTCTGGCACTGACATTCCTGTCAGCCGTGGACTTGTACGGAAAAAGAGTCCTAGAAGATCACGTCACCTAGTGACACTATAGGTGTCTTTAAGTACATTCTTATGATTTTTTGCAACAGGGTCTAGCTGTGTAGTACAGACTGGCCTCAGACTCACAGTGCTAGGATTACAGGCGTGCACCGCCATGCCGGGCTTGTACTGTCTGCACATGGATGAAATCATCTAATGATGCATTCCTCCAATTGTGTCCCCATTATTAAGTGACACATGACTGTAGTTCTGACTCATTGGCTTGCACGTTACACATTCTGCACTTTCTCTTTCTACCAGTGTTGTATGTATGGTTCTGCACAGCCATTTGCATTGTTCTCTCTCTCTCTCTGTCTCTCTCTCTCTCTCTCTCTCTCTATGTATGTAGCTCAGGCTGGCCTTGAACTTGCAGCAATCCTCTTGCCTCAGCCTCTGGAGTGCTGGGGTCACAGGCATTTGCCTTACTGCATCTTCATGGCTGTGTACTAGCCCACTGTAAACCTTCATTCTTTCACCAGGGATGTCTGGAGCATCTCCTTATGCCAGGCACTGAGCTGTGCCTGGGGATGCAGCCATAAACAAAACACACAAATTTCTACTCTCCTAGGGACCCCGATATATAATTTCAAGTCAAGAGGTCATTGTTGCTCTGTAGAAGGAGGCAGGGTGGTGGCAGAATGCCAGGGGAGCGCTTCTGGAGTGGTGCTCTAGGAGCCAGGGTGTGAGCAGCGGGGTGTGTGGGGAGCTGCTCCCCCGGTGGGAGAACACAGACCTGTCCCAGGTTCCGCAAGGAGGCCAGCATGGTTTGAGCCTGGGGACAAGGTATAGATTCACAGCATGACATGGGACAGCTATGGGCTGCCTGAAATTTTTTTCCCCCCAGAACTGGGTATGAAACTGGGCCTTAGCTCTGAGCCACATCCCTTGCCCCTTTTCAATTGTTTTGATTTTGAGACAGGGTCTCCCCAAGTTGTTCAGGCTGGATTCCAACTTGTGATCCTCCGGCTTCATCCTGGGATCACAGGCATGCCCCACTATGCCCTGCTTGCCTGTGATTTCTTTTAAGCCACCCTTGATGCTACACAATTCAGCTGTTCTTTGGGTTCTGTTAGCTTCTCGACTGACTACCCAGGGTGGAGCCCAGACTGGATGATTTGTTAACCTTTCTCACATAAACAGGTCCAGATGGGGGCTTCTGTTGGCGGGGAGACAGGGCCCTGAGGAGTCAGAGGCTGGGAAGAGGCTGTGGGAGCCAGCCAGTCTTTCTGCCCTAAATAGGCAGGCTGGGTGCCTGCCCTCCCTGCCCCTCCTCCTCCCGCCCAGGCAGACAAGCTGCTTTTGTCTCAGGGTCAACCGCCAGCCCAGGCCTGATACCTCTGGCCTCACACAGATGACCGCAGCCTCCCCAGCTCTGCCCTGACTTCCCTGAGGAGGTGAAGGCCAAGTGTCTGGCACCTCTGTCTCTTCTGCTTCGGCCCCCGTCCCCTAAAAGGTCACAGTTACTCATGGGGATGAGGCACACTGGGCATCTTGGTGGGAAAGGAGTCAGGGTGGGAGGGAGATGGTCCCTACGGCACAAGGCACCTGGCCAGGAAGAGCTGGGGATAATTGCTGTGGTGCCCAGAAGGCAGACTCAGAGTTGTAGGCTTGGTCTGTTTCATCCCTATGAAGGAAACCAACCACCTGCTGCAGGGGACACTGAAGGAAGACTTACAGAAGGACTTTCCACCAGTGATCAGGGACAAAGAGGGGAAATGGAAGCATCTAGGACAGCTACACACCTGTAATCCCAAGGTACAGGAGGCTGAGGCAGGAGGATACCAAGGACAGTTCAAGGGCCAGGGATCTAAGCTCAGTGGTTCCACCACCTGCCTTGCAAGCAAAAGGTCCCGAATTCAATCCCCAGTACCAAAAAAACCAACCAAACAACAAACCAAGAGTTCAAGGCCAGCCTGGGCTACCTAGGGAGTTCAAGCCCAGCCTGAACTGCATGGAAGGAGACCCTGTCTGAACAGAACAAAACAAACACAAGGAAGGAAGTTTAAAGACTGGGAGGTGGCAGATCCAAGGCTAAGGGATCTGCTGGGTCTGGCCACAACTTTTACCTCTCAAGTGTCTTTTCCGTGAGAACTGAAGTTGGACTAAAAGACTCCATGTGAGTGCGCATGGGGGTCAGCTTATGGGAGGGAAAAAGACGGGGCTTTTTAAGAGGAAAGAGGGGCAGAGGCTTGAGGACCTTGTGACCACCCTGCCTTCCACGTCCTCAGGAGGCCCTGCCCGGGCTCATTTGGGACCTGGGCCAGCAGCTGGGAGACCTGAGCCTGGAGTCGGGGGGCCTGGACCAGGAGAGTGGGCGCAGCTCAGGTGAGCACGGGTGAGGGGAGGGCCTTCCTGGGACCCACACTTGTTTCCGCTGTCCCCAGTCTCTCCCTGCCCCAACCCTGATGGTTTCTCAGCTTCTCCCTGGAATCCAGGATTCTATGAAGACCCCAATTCCACAGGAGGCCCAGATTCACCACCCTCGACGTTCTGTGGGGACAGTGGCTTCTCCGGATCTGGCTCCTATGGACGCCTGGGCCCCTCTGAGCCCCGGGGCATCTATGCCAGCGAGAGGCCCAAGTCCCTAGGTAAGGTGGATGGGGTTGGGGCCCTGAGGCCAGGGAGAGGACAGAGGATGGGATGACAGAGGATGGGACACTTCTGAGTCAGCCCTGGACTCCAATTCTGGCTGGGACCTTCCCTCTTCGTGTGACTTTTGAACATCTCTTCTCTCGGGGCCTCCGTTTGTGAGCCTGTTCAAGTGGGTAACAGTAGGGATGCTTTGAGTACAGCACTTACTGGGCCTCTGCCCTCAGGCACCGGAATTGGGAAGAGGTGGTCACTGGGTAAACTGCTGTTAGTCATTTACACAGTAGGTCTCTGAGTCCCTACTGTGTGCGCTCGTACACTGCCCTAGGAGTGAGGGGCACAGCAATGCCCTCATGGAACGGATCTTCTCCTTGCAGGAACATAACAAACAAGATAAGTAAGATATCGAAAGTACTAGATACTGATACACACTATGACAGGAAATAAACCAGGGAAAAGGAAGAGGGAGTCTCCCTTCGAGTTTGGAGAGGAAATAGCACTTGAAGAAAATATGGCAGGGGGTGGTCTCACAGAGGCTGTGACATCCGAGTGGCTCCCTGAAGCGAGAGTGGGCTAAGAACATACTGTGGGAGAAGGACATCCCAGGGAGCAGACGTGACACGTGCAGAGGTCCAGAGGCTGAGCTTGACTGTCCTGTGCATCTAGGGCAGTGTAGCTAGAGATCGTCACGAGACAAACTTGAGGTTTGGAGACAGAGGCGGGCCAAATCCTGCAGCGTTTTGTACGAGGGAACAGGTGCTGCCAGGCTGGTGCTGAAGTAAGGTGGGGAGGGAGGCAGCCTGCTCCTCCCTGGCTGGATGAGAAAGGACTTTGAAAGGCCCCCCTCCCTCTTCCTTTTCCGCTCTCTCCTAGGAGACGCCAGTCCCTGCACTCCGGAGTTGGTGGGCGCTCGAGCGGCGGTGCCGCGTTCCTACTCCGCCCCGTACCCGACGGCAGCGGGCTCGGCGGGG